CGGCCTTTTTGTAATCTGCCCATGCCTTGGCCTCTGTGTCGGCCAGTCTTTTCGAGGCCTCATTCATGACATCCTTCTCGAAGCCGAGGACTGACCGCAGAAACGTGGTCATGGACAGACCAAGCTGGTGAAAGGCCGAGTCACCCTTCCTCAGACGCTCTTCGGCACCGTCAATGTCGTCGTTCATGATGAGAGCGGCGGCAACCATTGCCTCCTCGATGTCGGCCATCTCCCGCGCAGACAGGTTGACCTGTGAGGCCGCCGGGCTCGCATTGCTGCTCACCTTGCCGGCGGTGGAGCGGAACCACGAGCCGAGTCTACTCATCGTGCCGGCGGGCGGTGAAGCTGGAGTAGTTGTGTGTGAGTGTTGAGTTGCACACACGAAAAGTCTGTGAGATATGAAAATTTGTGATGTGTAATATCACAAGCCAAAAATTGACGCAGCCGCTGCTTTTTTCCACTTGGTGCAATCGGACCCTCGGAGTCGCGAGGCGTATTGGAAACCGGAAACGCTCCGGCGAAGACGCTGACAGACGAACACAAGAGCCGTGGATCCCAGGCGATGGAACGCTGGCGCTGAAACACACGGGTCGATTGCCCGATTATGGGTGCTACTGATCGGGGAAAATGACGTCTGTCCCAGTTGGGTTGGCGCTGTAAGGGACCACCGCTCCGGGGTTGAGGCTGCGTTTGTGGTGGGATTAAATATGGGACGCGGAAGCGAGAAATGGCTCCTTGGGGAGATCGATGTCTTGGTGGACAAAGATGATGTCGACGACTAGAGCAGCTGAGACGGCGGGTTGAGAACCGGAAACAGCATCGAAGGACGGAGGCCCTCGTGTCGATATGCTCACGGCGTGGTGACGTCCGAATCAGGGGCGACGTCGAACCTCGGGATCATGAGCGCGCACAAGCAAGGCTGCGTGTGAGTGAGCTGGAGGCGAAGCTGTTGTTGGTGGGAGAAGTGGTTAGAAGTGAGCCGTGGGAGTGAGCGGTTGAGTAAGATGATAAGAGAACAGAGTAAGACAGGACAAGGAGTGATGGGGTAAGGTAAAGTAGCGTAGACAAGGTGAGGCAGAGTAAGCCTCGACGAATGACGAACGAGCTCGAGTTGAATAACCAAGGGGTGCAGTGCACGTACTTACGGTTCGAGTCGTGAGAAGCGGCGGCGCGCTAGAGTGGCCAGTCTGCTCGCAACGGCTTCCGTCGGTCTGTAAGGCAGACTGACTATATGGCTGTAGGTAGGTGGGTAGGTAGGTAGATTGATAGAGAGATATGTATGTAGGTAGGTAGGCGGACAGTAGAAGACGTTTGTACACCTCACCGCACAGAAGCGTTGAAGCGAATACACGTATTCGGGCTCCTTCAGGGCATAAAGTACGCAGCAGCAAAGTCAAGGAAGTCTAGTTGTGGCGCGGGGCACGAGGGACCTGGGAACTTCAAGCGGGGGAGACGGGTCGAGTCGACGGCCTCGAATGGGTGGCTAGAAGCTGGAGCTAAGGGCTGTTCGTTTATGCGCCGGCGAGTCCACCAGTCGAGGGTGGATGGATGGGATGGGATGAGATGGGGGACTCTGCAGGTGAAGAACGCGGGTGATGGCAATGTGCGTCGAAGCTGGAGGCCTTGTTGACATAGAAGCAGAGTTGCAGGTTCTCTTCGCAGCAAAACTGTTGACGTAGTGCATGTAATATGATGTACGGGTACAGAATGAGCGAGGGACTTTGAACCTTTGTAAGCCGCAGAGGTGCCGTGTGCCTCCGGTATGTTGAACACCGTCTTTGACATTCTTGGGAACTCTTCCGGATCCTCTCAAGAACGACCGGGGATTGCTGGAAAGCTGTGCTCACCTTACTATGGAGCATGTATCCGTACTACCGCATTGTACGAAGAGTGCAGCAATAGCGTTGTATTCCAGGCTGTTGGCTTGTGGCTGAGAGATCCGTTCCCGCTTCCGCATTCGCATGAGGTGTCATTCCAGCCAAATTCACTTGATCCCGTCCAGCGCTGGCGCAGCGGACGGTGGGGTGTGTCCGGGTCTATCGGGTCTATCGGCTGCTGTCAATCACCGAGAGGCCAACCGGAGGAGCGCGAGTTTGCAGTACTCCGCTCCGTCGAGGTCCCCTAGCCTCTCCTTCTCTTGCGGACTTTTATTAAAGCTTTGCTAGAAGAGACAGGACCCTAGGCGTTGATGACCGCAGTTAGTAAGTCAAACCCGAATGGTATACTATGTACGTGTAAATCAACCCTGTCAACAAGCTCAAGCAAGCCCAGCCCAGCCCAGCCCAGCCCTTAGGATCCCACGGTGCAGCAGACGCAGGCTTAGCAACAAGACCCTACGCCAAGAGATCATCCGCTACTGCATCTCTCAGTGCGGCGGGCGGCAGACACAAGCACATGAATCAAGCACCCACATGCCTTTCGTCGTCCCCTAAAGCCGTGGTGGACAAAGTCAATACCCGCCGACCGGGTGGCCTGGCCGACGGGAGACGAAAAAAGAAACGCGCGACAGCATCCGGACCCTCTCTCTGCAGACCAGCAAGTCAGTCAGTAGAGTTGACTGACAAAAGTTTGCCTCGTCTCAACTCGAGTCGGAGCGCCTCCCGACGGAACGGTGAGGGATCTGAGGTGGTACGGGTGAGAAACTGCCTACCACATGTAGAAGACACACGCATGATGTGCCCGGCCGCCGGTCTCGTTGCCTCTGGCCGAATTTGATGCCAGCTCGCGTGCTCAGTCCCCCAAAACGAGTTGCTGACGGCCGAGATATGTTCCTCCTGTATTCGTATGTGTTCTCCTGTGGATGAACAGATCCATATGCCCTTTGCAAACCGCGGCACGGCGGGCAGCACTGCCTGGCGCGAACTTACGCACAACCGCAGCCATGCCGTCCCAACTCTGGCCTCTCGGTTTTCCATTCTCGCATCGCATACGACAAATAGGAAGGTAACGAGATGTCTTGGTGCCGTTTGCTGGTGGCTGATGTGGTGTCCACGGAGCCACCGGTTCTGTAGGAGGCTGAGGAGCAGTCCAAGGACTGGCCTCTCACGGCTTCAAAGATGAGGCTCTCACCTGGGTGTCCTACCTACGCTTCCATGGGTTGACATGGCTGAATGCACCTCAAAGGCCTCCACATCGACCGCAATTGGGGGAAGTTAGGCAGAAGACTAGGGCAGCTTCATTGGGTGGCACCCTAGACAGATGAGTCAACTGTCCGGCATTCAGTTCAGCCTGGGAGTCGGCTCTGTTAAATGAGAAGACAACTTGATGCAGAGTCTGCGTGGTTTTGCTGCCTTGTCAGAGTGAATCAAACAACAAACACACTGGATAAGTACTGGCTTTCGGGATGTGCAGTGACGCAGTCATGATACCTTAGCAGAGTAAAGATGAGCTGCTTCAGCGGCTTTGCCCACTCACCGCGCTGATTCTGCCGCCAACATCCCCGCCCGGCGTCACACATTCAGCGACAAGCACCCGGCCTTGGGTACAGTAAAGTGCCTTCGCATACGGGGACCTCACCCCACCACGCCTTAAAAGCAAGCTACCCCGCCATCATCGCAGCCGCAGCTCACCACTCTTCATCTGTGACAACTGCAACTAGCCATCATCACTCACCGTTGCCGGCCCCAGAAGCGTCTTTTCTTTTTCCTGCTTTCTGCCTGCGAGCTGTGTCTGCAAGCCAAATCGAGCGTTTCCTGCCACTTCCCCTGACAGCTCCACACGAGATCCACCTGCTGCTGCTGATCAAGAGCTTCCAACCTTGACGGTTACAGCTCCGTTTCCAACCAACAACAGCTTCTTCATTCTCGCCAACCCTCCTTCAACACCAACACCAACACCAAACTACAAAGCACACGCTTCAAACCGCCCATCATGTCGAGCAAGCGCATCGCCAAGGTCCATTCTCACCCCTCCCTCCCCTCCTCACCAAAACCAAACTAACATCGTTCGTCTCTCCAGGAACTCACCGAGGTCACCGCCACCCCGCCGACCGGCATGACAATCGCCCTCGCCCGCGATGCCGACCTGCACACCTGGCACGTCACCCTCCAGGGCCCCGAGAACTCCCCCTACGCCGGCGGCACCTTTGCCGTCATCGTCGACCTGCCCAAGGACTACCCCTTCAAGGCCCCCGTCGTCAAGTTCGCCACCCGCATCTACCACCCCAACATCACAAACGACTCCCTCGGCAACATCTGCCTCGGCATGCTCAAGTCCGAGAACTGGAAGCCCGCCACAAAGCTCTCCGCCGTCCTCGAGGCCGTCCGCTCCCTCCTCGTCGAGCCCCAGCCCGACGACCCCCTCGAGGCCCGCATCGCCGACGAGTACAAGAACAACCGCCCCGACTTTGAGAAGAACGCAAAGGTCTACGTCACCCGCTATGCCAAGGGCCCCGCCAACTTTTCCGTCCCAGAGGTCAAGCAGTAGCTACTCACCAAAGACACTATGAGGTAAAGGTCGGTAGGCAGGAGGAGCGGACAGGGCGGATATCAAGATGGAAGACACATGGGCTACATTCAACATACAAAACTGTGGCGGTTGATGGCGGGAGCATTGGCGGCGTTCGGGATGGGATTCGGCTGATCATGGGCCTTGATACCTTTGCAAATGTTTCCGTAATTGGACCGGTTATTTTGAACAAGGGATTTAAAACACTTAACCAGTCACTGTGACGATCATACGAATACCATGATAATCTTCATGTGTTTGTCTGTACAAAGAAAACGTATCTGCTCGGGCCCAAAAGATGGCACCCTGTGGTAGAGCTGCGACAAGTGTTGCTGTTCCAGTCAGGCAATCTCGCATGCATCTACTCTATGCTGCCAAAAGTCCAATATGCCAGGGGCTCGTCTGGGCCCTCTTCTTCTAAGATGATATCCTTTTTTCGCTTGCCAGTTGTCCCGCATGCCATGTAGTCATTACCGTTAAATGCAGTTTTCCCCAAACGCCATTGCTGAATGATATGCTTGCTGCCTCCCTGCCTTCTTGGTTCTGCAATGGAATCACATCACCTCAGCTGACCTGCCCAGCTTCCTCCGTCCGAAAATGGTGTTCTTCCTGCGCACCTCGCCGTCGTCGGCTGCATTTCCGCTGCCCACGGCATACGTGGCCGCCCGGGCACCTTCTGTCTGCACCTTGTCACGTCTCTCTTGTCGTTGACTGTCAATTGTGTCTTGGCTGATGTGGCCAAACCCATTGCGACGTTTGAACGTCGCCTCCATGAGGGCGTTGGCGTCTAACAGCCGGCGGGGCATTGCTTGAACAGTAGAGAACATTTCCATGGGATCAGCTACAGCCCGAACCTCGTCTTCGCCAAGCTTGAAAATGGCAAGAGCGATGCGGAAGAGCGTCTTGGAGCCTTCGTAGAAAAAGACGTCCCACACGCGCAGCGTGCTTTCGATGGGAAGGGTACCGATGAAGCAACTCATGAACCACGCCGTCATGCACAGGGTGATTGGCGGCAGACGATTCGAGGAGATGCTGGGTTGGTTCTTCCTCCGAGATCTGGGCTTCTTCACTGGCTTCGCAGGACGCGGTGCGTTGGGGTCACCTTCCAAGTCGTCACCAATCTTGGCCCATACTGCGGGCATGGACTCCCGAATGGCATTCATCAGAACACCTAGATCCACCTTAGATCCTTCGAGGCTCATCTCGTGGGTGCCTGGCAGGTACAGCCGTGTAATGACGTTCAACAGCCAAAAACATTGCTCTTCCGAATCCATGAACAGAAGCAGCAAACCAGCGAGGAAGTTCAAACTCTGACAGTAGCCGATGCGAGGGTTGTAGATGGCGAATGCGTGGAGAACTCTCCTCAGGGACGAGATAATCTGGGGCTCATTCGTGTCCGCAGGCTTCTTCTCATCGTCATCCTCGCCCTTCCTCTCAGGCTCTACGTTCGGCTTGCCAGCCATGCTCGCAGGCTTGAACTTGATGTTGTCCGGGAATGTTCGGTGCAAATCTCGCTCAATGGCCTCCACGTCGACATCTTTTGCCTTCTTCTGCAGTAGTTGATCGTACAAACCGGAGTGCTTGGCCAATATAGCAGGGCCTCCGGCGTAATAGAACCAAGCGGCACCTCTCCATTCGGGAGGAATGCCTTTGCGGATAAACCGTTTGGCCTTGGCACTGTGAGGTGGGAACCGCTGTGGACGGTCCGTCATGAGGCCATTCTCTTTCAAGAAGGCGGTCCATTTCTTACGTCTCCTGTCCAAATACTGGGAATAGCCCTTGTCCCAGTTGTCGTATTGTTCCCTGGTGATGTACTGATTGGCCTTTTTAAACCCGTATCGATCCCGAGCACCAGGTTCCTCGATTTCTTCGGGCTCAACAGCAGTTTGCATCGAGGACGTTGTTGGGCTGCTCATTTTCGGCGACGGGGTTAGCGAATCTTTTTCATTCTGAAGAGATTTTGCCGAGTCTCTTTTCTCCTTTTCGTCCACCTCGTCGTTTCTTTCATTGTCGTCGTCCTCCTCTTCCTCTCCCTGATCGTCTTCCAGCAAACCAACCTCTTTAGGCAAAGACGAAGGGTATTCGGATACTCTGAACATGTCGACCGATTGGCGGACAACGGTCTCTGAAACAGGAACAGCTAGTGAGTTGGCAGGCATCGTCAACGGTTGACTCAAGACTTCGAGCATTCTCGTGTTGCGCTTATTGATCTCGGACGCCGGTACCGGGCTATCGTCGTTGTCTTCGGGGCTCGAGTCTTGGAAGCCTTTCTCGTACATGCCCATCACGTCGTCGACACTAAGCTCTTCGCCGTTAGCGTACAGAGAAGGGACTGAGCTGTTCTTAGTGAGAACACTGCTTCTTTCCGTCACGTACGTGCCCTGCGCGCTCGAAGATGTCATTTGAGATCGGTAGCTGGACCGCATCTCGTCTCCACTCATCCACGGTGCCTCACGCGCATAAGTAGATAAGCCGGAGCTTGAGCTATCAACCCGACCGTACGCCAATGGGGGTCGGGCGAGGCTCGACGGAGGCGGGGCACTCCGGAGCCGGGACGGGGCGCGATGCTCGTAGTTATCGTTTCCTGTGGCAGGCATCGAGGAGAACGTCGAGGCAGACCGGGCGGAGGAGCCAGACTGACCCCGCGGCCGAGGCCATGCTTGATGATGCGAATTGGGATCGGAGCGTGGGTCTGAGGGAGAGTAGTTCGCTGGCCGGGGACTGTACGAGTCCTGTATCGGCTGCTTGATGCTAGGCCTTCTCGGACGAGAGAAGTTGTCTACCTGCATGGTATCGATCGAGGATCGGTCGTCGTCGTCGTAGGGTACGGGAGATCTAATCGAACGGGCGGCGGCTTTGCTAGTCCATTCGTCGGCACTCAAGTCGTCGTCCTCTTCGTAACCATGACTGAGGCTGGGGGACGGCGAGGCAAAGGGGCGTTCCGAGGAGGGGTATTTTCGAATTGAGTGGAATAGGGCAAGGCGAGGCGATTGCGACTGTGACCGGGCGCTCATGAGGTTTTGTTGCCTCGCAAAGTTACTGGAATTGTTTGCCAGAGAGTCCCAGCGTGGGGGGGATGTGGGTAAGGGATGTGCATGTGTTGGAGAGTTGGCGGCTGGGGAGCCGGGACGCTCTGGAACGTCAGAAGCTGGGACGGGTTTCGGATGGGTCCGCCTTGAAGCATAAATACCGAACTGGCGATGCTTTATGCTCGTCTGACGGTGGATGGTAGGGTCCTGGTCTGCCATGGCTCCCAAGGCGATCTGGGCGTCGGGTTGACCAGAATCCGCTGCCACGGCCATGAGGGTCATGTTGGCTGAATCCCCCCGGCCGTTATATGGCAGCGGCGGCGACTGCTACAAGAGGGGATCGACCGAACAGGAGGCGTGTCAAAGTTGATGCTGTTTTCTTTCCCTTTGCCGTTCTCGTTACGACAGGGCAGGCGAAAGCGGTAACGTGGGTGTTGCAAGCAATAGTGTTCAGGTAGTGGTAGTGCACTTTGGTTGTAGTAGGGCAGTCAAAGTCGTCGAGAACGGTACCATCGCGGCACATGCATGAACCTTGCGTCTTGCAGCAACCCTCTCGAATAGTCTCAGCAACTCGTAGTCGGTATTGGCCGGGCGGGGCAGGTTCAATGGGTGATCGCTGCTGGAAGCCGGGATATGGCAGGTTGAAGAACGGTCGGTGCGAGGGTGGTGCAAAGAAAATAGGGTGACAATCAAGTCGAGTTGAGCAAGGAACGGCGGCAGGCTTTGAAAGAAACACAGGGCATGCGACGAGACGAGGTGATGCCCTGAGGCCGGTTCATGCGTATGCAGGCTGGGGGCCGGATGTAAGGGGGGAAACTTGGAAGTGAAAGATCGACCGTCAGCCGAGTCAATGGGCGAGAGCTGGCGTTGTTCTGACGAGGTCTGAGGTCGAATGGTAGGTCGGGGAATGCGAAACAAGAGACGCAATGTCAGAGGAGTCAAGTTGGGGAAACGGCTCTGACAGGTGCAGACGCAGGAGGTCGTTATCGTCGGTAAAATGAGGAGACCAAGGGAGAGGTATCCGACTGGTGCGGTGAGCGTGTGGTGGTATCGATGGGTCGAATGGCACCTTGGGATTGCGGAGGCTTCAGGAACGGGGCCAGGTACGCAGCGGTTTAAGGCAAGGCACACACGGCAAGGTACAATGGACCTGAAGTATGTGTGGATGGCGGCCGTCGTCGTCCGAGGTCTGGTTGGTTAATGGCGGGGGGTCCTGGTTTTTTGGGGGCGGATGCCTGCTGTCGCAGATGAAGATGCTAAAACTGAAGCGAGCGTTTGGACCCGGACAAGGGCGTCTTCGTCATTGGTTCAAGCCGAAGCCGGGAAACATGCGTCGAAAGGATCGGAAGAAGAACAGAACGGAGAGCGGGGCATCGAGTGGTGAAAGGTAGAAGCAAGGCTCTGAAATGCTGTAGGTGGGATGCAGAGCTCCAAATGGCCCAAAGCAGGTGTCTGTCTCTCTTGTCTGTTTCTTTTTTTTTTTGTTTTCGTTGCTTTGATGATGGTTCAGGGCAGGGCGGGCATCTGTGGCGTCGCCAAGGTCGAAGGTGTCTCGGAGACGCAAAGAGTGATTGACTCGTGCGTCAGATTTTGGGAGACGCTGCCGCTGCCACGAGGTAAAAGTAACGACGGCCGCGGTCGGATGGTTCGGCGGGCTGATTGGCCGACTTTCAGACGTAAGGTATCGCTGGTTGCTGTCGGTTCGGTGTTGATGAGGCCGGTGCGGTTTGGACACGGTCAAAGAGAGACAGTCCCGTCGGGTCGAGGCGGACGAAGAAACGAGAGATTGTGGTAGGATGAGCGAGTGTCGCAAGGAAGGAGTCGAGACAGAGAGGAAAGAAAAGATTAATCGGGTGGATTGGCGAACGGAGGCGGCGAAGGCCAGCAGATGGGCAGCCCAAGGTTAGAGTAGGTAAGGTAGTAGATATTATTTTGCCCGGGCGAATTACCGACGAGAGGAAGCAATTGAGGAAAATAAAATAAAGATAAATAAAAACAAGATCAAAAATGTAGGGAAGGATCAGATGGAAGGAGCTTCCCGAAAGTGTGATTTACCACGCGGGAGGGAGCGAGGAAGGAGCACCTAAATGATGATGCCAGTGCAGATTGCAGGTGCAGCTGCCTGCGCAAGCGCGAATTGAGCAATGGAAGTTACTTCAGAAGGTGAAGACACGAGAGAGAAGGGGGGCAAAGAAAGGTAAAAAAAAAAAAAAAGGGATTGCTCGTTGACGAGATTGAGATTTGAGATTTGAAATGGAAGATCCTCTTCTCTTCTCTCTCTCGCCCTCTCCCTTCCAGGTTTCTTCAAGGTCTCTCTTCGCCTCCCCCGGTCCGCTGTCTTTCGCTTGTCGAGTCCGCCTGGAGGCATTTCCACTTCATTCTCATTTTCATCCCCCAATTTCACAGACTCAGTACATATGCACTCTGTGCGGCACGCGGCAAGGCATCTGGATAGGAGCTCCCTTGGAGAGAACGGGCCAACTCATGGCTGGCGCCAATAGAAGCATTCCAATTCCAACGGTGGTCGAATTATGAATGAGAGAAATGCATGCATGCCTTCCATGCCTGGCTGTCCAGTCTTCTTTCTCTTCCCTGGCTTCCCTGTCAGTACTTTACCATGTAGCAGACGGGAGAGAGAGAGGGTACCGCGCCGCTGGCTCCGAGGCGAAGCCAATTCCAGATCCCAACACCCAGGACCATACCAAGACTTTTCAATCACTACACGCGCCAAACGAAGGGGCAATAGATTGATTAAACGGTGAGAGTCAAGAGTCAGACACCCGTTGGCTAACGACATCCAGACTCTGTCTCTGTTTCTGTTTCTATCTTCTCTCTCTCCGAGTCTGCCTCGAGCAGCAAGTAAGTACACGGACAGTGAAAAATAGAAAAAAAAGTTCCAGTCAACAATCAATCCGATTCAGCGGTCCATCCACATCGTCGCCAGATTCCGCAACACCGCCGCGACGTGCGCTCCTTCCCCGCAATCTCTCATCAATCGCATCTCTCTCTGTCGGAGAGTCAGACGAAAGACGCGGTCAGTCGTCAGTCGTCAACAGCCAGGTTGTTCAGCTTGCGCCTAGCACAGAGGCTGTATACGTACACTATTGGTACTCGGCCGGTTCAAATGGGGCCCCGTTTCTTCCTTCTCGAACAAATTCCATCCACTCGGGATGTGGTACAGCATGCGCTCGGAGGCAGGTACCTCTTCTTGCCAGCGTCAACCAGGCGTTGACACAGGTACCGTCCGATGTTTCCTGGCTCTCGTCCCGGCCGACATGCTCTCCGCCGTCTTCCCGCATCCCTTGCATCCAAGACCGATAATACGCTGCGCATTATTACCACGGCGGCCAGCACACGCGCCTTGACGTTTATTCCCTGCGGTGCGTGGCAGCAGGTACGCAACCCTCGACGACATGTCAACTCGGCGCCCCCTCTCAGCCTCCGTCAACCAGGGCAGGGCATGGCATCCATGGACGACGGCTTCAGGGCCGAGAAAACACTGCACCTGCAGGGAACAGAAATGCAGTCAGGAACGTGAACGGGACTGCGACTGTGGGTCTTTGCTTGGTGAGCCAGTGAGCCAGGTTTCCGTACTTTACGAATACAAACGACGATGGGACAGATGGACGGACGGCGGCCACCGGACAGTGGCCCGGATGTCGACCCGCGACCACCACCTCACGCAACGTCCCGGCAGCGCAGCAAACGCAGGTGCAACGGTCTCTGCAGGGGCACCCACCAGGGAAAGCCACTGGGCTTGTGCCGCGCTGCACCACCCAAGTAAGGTAGGTACCCGTGTTGCCGTGGACGTGCTTAAGGTAGGTAGGAGCTGCTGACGGCGGTCAACAGCGGGCAACAGGCGCACAAGACTGCCACAGCCGCCCCGTTCAGGTCGTTCAGGGGGAGCTTCCCACTGTCCACTGCTTGTGCAGGGCACCTCGTAGGGGTGGATTACTCAGGGCTGCCAGGGCCCTGCCAAAGATGGTTTGCTAGCGTCCACCCGTTCCTGGCGCTAGTCCCGATCAAGAAGTCATCACCCTCTGCCCAATCACCTTCCAATTTCCCGGGTAAGAGCCCGATTCCGATCCTGACTGGCCGAAGTCCCTTTTCGGAAACAGCCAAAGAAAATCTGCTCGTCCTTCGTCATCCAAAGCATCCCACGATCCAATTTTTGCTGCTCAATATTTGCCTTTTCTCTCCGCCCACCTCAACACGTCTCCAGTTCCCGCTGCTGGATGGGTCTCGCCGTTTTTCTTTTTGTTTTCTTTTTCCCTTCCTTTTGTTCTCCTGTTCCCCCGACCCGACCCGTTCTCACGGCATGACTAAGACTTTGGCCTTGATCGTTCCCTCCGTCGACCACATGGTCTGGCCCTGTTTCTGCTGACCAAACAGCTCAATCAACGCCGCGCTCGGGATGACGTTCCAGCGAATCCTCCTGATGGGCGGGATGCTTTTTTTCTTCCTGTCTGTCTCGTGCAAATCAACACAAAGACACTAAACAACTGGAGACCGTGGATTTTCAGCCACCAAGTCAGCGCCGCCAACGGATGCCAATCTCGAGGCTGTCATGCGTCCTCGAGCATGCATCATCCCGTCTGCGCTGCCGGCCGCCAGCCGAATCTCGATCATCCCAATTTGCTACTTACCCTATGGTATATCTCTTTCCAAGGATTTCAAAACGCGTTGGAAGGCTAGCAGCCTACCTTTCCCTCAGCGTGGCCAAGTTCCAACACCTCGTTTCCACATCAGGTTCCCACCTGATGTGCCTTGCCTGTTCATCAGGACCACATCTCGATTTCTCTCTTCTCTCTCTTTAATCTCCCGCACTGCTGGGTCAGGCCGCTCTAGCATCAATACGGAGTGCTACGTACTCACTCACTTGAATAAGGCGTGAAGACGGATCACGATGCTCGTTCCAAACTCCGGCTTTCCTAGCATCGCCGACGTCCCATCCAAATGCTCTTTTGGCGAGTGCCCCGATGGACCAGCCCAGGCCTAACCTAGATCTTATTTCCTATCTACTACCCTCCTTGGTTACAACTAGACCGACCTTGGAAAATAATACCACCCGTTGGGTACTACTCTACAACTCCGAGCACCCCGACAGCTCGTCCTAGAAACGAGCCCGACCGCCCGGAACACGTGCGGAGCAGAGAGCAGAAGAAGAACAAGCTACACATGACACATATCTTATGGACTGTCCTGGCGTCTAGTCGCTTTGTCTCTTCGTTCATTATTCCCCTTGCTTCTTACTATCGGCATGTCAGACAGGTGTAGCTTTTTGGATCGACGCTGTCTCATCCTCCCTTGAACCGCTGGATGGGAACCCCGAGTCTAGGATGCGGCCTGGCGGCCGAAAAGAGATAACACATTCCTTTTTCCTCATCCATTTCCAGCGCTCGGTAGCCCAAGCCGAAAGGTTTGCGATTCCAGGGTCTTCCAATTAAACCTGGGCAACGTGCCATCCGCCGCTGCCGCTGTGCGCTTGCACCACAAAAGTCGAAGACGTTCAGCTGGCGGCCAAACATGTTCTAATTGATCAGCGTCGGAAAAGACGTCTCGGATTTTATCCGGCCCGGCACGATCTTACAATTGACGAACGGGAAGTCTGTTCCAGCAAGCTATCAACCTGCACCTACAAGTCTGCAGCCAACGAACGTACCGGCACCTACGAAGGCTGGCAAGAACTCACATCACAAAGCTGTCGCACACGGAGCTTTCGGATCCAGGATTCAGGCCAGATGAACGCTTCGGATGAACCGGTCAGCTCAATTCGGTAGCCAAACGGACAATCCATGCCTACGAAGGAGTCCTGCATTGAACAACGTTCCGGCGATGCAAGTTTCTGTTTATGGTTTCGAGTATTATATTTTGCCCAATCTGGATCTCGCGACCAAGGACAAGCGTCCGCAGTGGTTCTGGGTCAAAATGGATCAAGGTTGGCAAGGCTACGATGGCGGATGCAAGTGCAAGCCAGTGCAAGTGCAAGACGACGGGCTCCTGGAAGCCCGCAGCGTAGGCCAAGGCGCGGAGTAACGCCGGCTCAGCGGGATGGCGAGGGGAAGTCGCGAGCGCGACTCAGCGTGAAAGAACGGAACAGCTTTAGCGCACGTGATGACGCTATCCATGACGTCCCGTTCCGGCTAGAATCACGTCAGCAGCCGGCTGGCGGCCCTGAGCTGGAGCTTTACCCTCGGGGGTGATTCGAGGAACGGAAATGGTAGTGATGGCCAATGACGATTGGCTCGAGAGGAGCAGCTAGGGGCAGAGCTCCTAATTCGCACAGGGGCAGGCATGAGCAGCTGCCAGCAACAGCTCATGCTGATGAGTGACGAGTGTCAGAGCAGTCAGTTGGTTGAGGAGGGGAAAGGGTGAAAGACTTGGGAGGTGACGCTTGGGAAGGGGAAGAGGGGAAGAAGGGCTGGATGAGCTCAAGAACTGAGAGGAGGGCAAGCGGGAGCGCAACAGAGCAGGCAAGTTCGCAGCTCGGTGTTGAGCTGTTGCAACATGCTGTCACCGTTGCTGCTGCTGCTGCTGCTGCTGCTGCTGCTGCTGCACGCAAGGTCCGGAGGGAAAGGTAGGGTACCTTAAGGTGTGCGGACAGGGATGGTGATGTTGCTCTTCCCTCCCCCAAAGTGTCCGAGCTCTTTCGCTTGTCGGCCAACCACCAGCCAGAGCAGGTTCGCACGCCAATCTGGTTTCCCTGTTTGGATCTCCCCCAGTGCGCTCGTGTCCTCCACCCACCCCCTCTCCTCTCACCTACGCCCCCTTCGACTCGCCCTCCTCTCTCTCTCACCCGTCCGTCACTCACCCTCTCCCCTCTCTCTCTCTCTCTCTCTCTCACACACACACACACACCACGCACCCTCACTCTGAGCCGCTCACTCACACTCGTCCTAGGTCCTAGGTTCCTGGTCGTTGCTCCAGTCCTCCATCTTGCTTCTTACTCGTCGGCCCCAGCCCAGTCCACTCCCGTCCGGTCCAAGTTCGAAGCTCCCCCCAGCCACCCTCCACCACACCTTGCTCACTCACTCACCTTGGTGCTCCCTCGTTCAGCCTGGGGTCGTGGCTCCTGCTCCTGCTCCAAAGCCCGTCTCTACATGGCTACCTCACCTTGCGCACCATCAGCCCAGTGTACCTACCTCTTGCCTCACACACGTTCCCACGCAAACAGTATGGCAGAGCGCGCACCACTCAGCTGAGAGAGGAGAGAGAGAGGGAGCTCCCACCTCCCTCCCCCTCTCTCGCACACTCACTGCGCACCGCACCACCGACCCGCGCACTCCCTCCTCCTCTTCCTCTCTTCTCCTCACGCCCGCCCGCACTGCACACTGGGCTCATGTCCCCGGGCCAGACGTATGTAGAGAGGTAAGGTAGTGTAGGTACGGATAGACAGGTACCTCACCGCACCGCCGCCGCCAGTCGACTTGCACCCACCACCCACCTTGGCTTGGTCCCGTCTCCCTCCCCCAGAGCTTTCCATGCGCCGACCTACCTACCTTGCCTACCTTTCGTCCTTGCCGCCCCCCAACTTTCTCTCTTTCTCTTTGCTTCTCCTACATCTATCCTGCCCTTCCCCATCCATCTCTTGTCTGTTTCTCTCCAGAAACACACCCTGAGTTGTCCAACTTGAACCAATTGGCCCCTTCGAACCCCCATCAACACCATGTCCACCCGCAAGAGAAAGCAAGACGAGGAGGAGGAGCTTGTTTCCCTCCCTGACGACGACGGTGAGGAGGAAGAGGAGTAAGTCACATCCAACTCCACCCTTGCGCCTGCTCTCTTGACTTGTCTCTGGCCAAGGAGGAACTATCTGGTGATGCCCGGAGCTTCCTGGTAGCACCAAGCCGCTCTTCTCTCTGAGAACCAGTGTCGTCGCAACTTTGCGCGTGGTCCTGGTTTCTGGGAACAGCTTCGCCAGCTACCGGGACCACTTGTGACCGAGATGCTAATACGTTTTGCTTGTAGGTACCAGTCTGAGGAAGACGAGGGCGAAGAGGACGATGATGGAGAAGAGGAGGAAGAGGAGGAGTACGAAGAGGGCGAGGGTGACGCCGAGGACGACGCAGAAGCCAATGGCGTAGAAGGTGAGCTCCGCACACAGTAACCTCCCCGACGACAGTTCTAACAAGCGACTTGCGCAGACAAAGCACCTCCATCCAAGAAGCGCAAGACCGAGACCGCCGGCGAGGACGACGCGGCGGCGGCTGACGAAGAGGAGGAGGCCGAGGACGAGCCAGAGGCTGACGATGACGCTGCCGAGGAGGAGGCGGCCGAGGGTGACGGCGACGACGAAGAGGCAGCCAACGGCGTCGAGGATGCTCCCGCCAAGGGCGAGGTCAAGGCCGCCGACGCACCCGCCGCTACCAACGGCGACGCTGCCCCAGCCGTCGCTGCAGGCGGTGATGCCGAGGAGTAAAAGCGATTCTGTATTCCCATCATCTACCCATACCACACTGCCAATTCATTCCTTCTCCTACCCATCAACGTCTCCGTCATTTAGTGTCTTCCTGAAATCAATCGTCAGCTTCTAGAATAGATGGCGATTTGATGTAAATGAACAAGGCATCGAGCCTGATTTCCAATAAGTGATGGTTAAACAATTCATTTCAACGCATTTGTGAATATCCGTCGCCGGTCTTGGCATTGGCGACTTGCGATCGGTGGTGATGGCACAGCATCAATCAACCAGATGGGTTTGCATGCGTACTGTTCGTGTCGTCTTCTCTTTCTCCATCAAGACTGGGGAGTTGACGAATCTTTAAATGACCCTTTCCATCTTCGGGCCTCAATCCTCACGCAAAACGGCCCAACAGAGAGCACGACACGTCGTTCACGGCTAACCCTCCATCGCGCATCGCCCTGGACGCTGGGGGAAATCCCCCGATTATCCAATAACGTCGCAACTTCGGATCCCCCCAAACCACGGCTGCACGGTGCCTGGTTGGTCGGATTGCCGAAGCAGATGGTGGCCGCCGCGGTCGAGGCCATTGAGGAGGGGGCCCCGGCCGGTCGCGGCGAACAGCGGCGGCGGCGGGCGGGGGCCCTTTTTGGGGGCCACCTGAGAAATCACTGTTTGCCGGCGTCGGCAGTTGAGAGGATGCTCACGATGAGCGGGATGGGGCCGCCAGCCAGAGGAGGCCCGGCGGGATGCGTTGTCGGCGATTGAGAAACTATGCATTACGTAGGGTTGTCATTCGTTTCTAATTCAGTCATGATGGGCTCAACACGCAAGAAAGCCTCTCGTATGTTGGGTTAACTAACTTGAGGGCAGTTTAATCAGGTTTCCGTGTAGTTTGTCGAGTGTGAGAGGTGAGAAATGATAAAGAGCGCCGGATGGGAAAGGAAAGGGGTTTAGTTCATTTGCTAAGGTACGATTTCTATCAGCAACTCATCTGCTGAAATTGCTCTCAACCTGGCGACTGACCAACGGCACTGGCAATCGGTGGGATTGATCACAGATGCCCCAGATCGACGTCGAAAAGAAACATCTTGAGCAAAATAAGGATGTACCTGCAATCTGCCTTTGGACAATGACTATGGAAACCTACACATCTGACAGACTGTATTATCATACTATGCTCTTACCTCGTACAGTAGTATATTCTCTGCGTACAATCTTACCCGTTAGCATTTCTTGTTTCATGTGCTAATTTTCCGTCGCCAGTATTCATATTGTAAATAGGTGTAGAGCCTTAATCATCCTTCGCGAGACATTTCATGACATTCATCAACCATTCAGGCACGCTGAGCATAAATGTTGGCTAGCCATCGCTCGAATTTGATGTATCAGCTGGCTTGGGTCTTATCTGCTCCTTGGTGAGTCCAGAGAAGTCAACATCCAGACATGCATCAACCTCTGTACCTAAAACCTGACCCATATCCTCCTACTTTCCCCCAACCCGGTGTGCCCCTCGAACGCTGCAACGACCAGAGCAAGCGGTACTCCGTTATCCCCCCACAAACCTTAACACAGCCTCTGATGTTGTTCTTTGGCTGAGACAAGGACGGCTGTCAGACCGTCTGTAGGCCAGCACCTTAACGGGACGGTGGCTTGAGGAACTCGGACACTGTGGCTGTTGCTCGTGCGGGATGAATGGCGCCAAAGCCAAGAACGTGGACTGGACCGTTGGTTGCCAGAGTGATATGTAAGACGGCTTTCTTGGTTGCTTTGTGTCTTCACTCAATCTCGTCGCTTTTTCTTGGCTTCGTAGGTTACCTAGACTGAGCTAACTTTCCACGTGAATTTCAAAGCCCAGCAACCATAGTAGCCAGTATAGCCAATCATTCGAGTATTGCAGATGTACACGAAACTCTCCATAACGTGACGAGGAAAATCACAAGGAAAAGTCTGCTTTAGTTTCGGATGAGTTCAGGTACACACAGCGTGTTGTCCAACGAGCTTAAAGCCCAAGAACCAGAGCGGCCAGGACCTCGATGGACTTACCAGGTCTGGGAGCAAGAGGGTTGTTGGGGTGGACCTCTCATAGTTCTCGAAAGAGGAATAGAACCAGATTCTCACAGTCTAGCTAAGATATATGAGAAGATCTAACAGAGAACACTGCCGAGAAGAGAACGTCCACCGTGCTAATAAATCCGACCTCGTAAGAGAAAGCAACCTTGGCCCTATGTCCACCCGGTATGATACCGAAAGACGAATATTGTCGCTTTCGCATGGTTCACCCTGGAAGAGTTCCGTGAGACGACCTCAGAATGATCCCTTAGCACGGGGGTGCAGTTGTGTTCAGCCTAAACTGGCCTTGTGCATAGGTAGGTGGTAATTCTTGTGGACATGGGCTTAGCTTATGCCAACGCTCGGAAACCGGCTTCAGAAGTTGCTACTCATACGAATTGACAAACGGCTTGAGCATAGCATAGAATATGTAGTGATGTATGCTTGTTGATAATCAGCCTTCAGTCACCCGAAAACGTCGTTGACTGGGTAAGTATAAATCAGGACAGAGGTCGACCTGTGATTTCGAGACAGGTGAGGCAAGGACTGTCCGCAAGGTTTCTCCCCGACGATCACGCCACTCTTTGCCAACCCAGCAAGACGTACAGGATCGGACAATTTGCGTAGCGTAGCCGAAAGAAGGAGCCAGTCGATGGTGCTCCGGGCCGAGTGACAGGGGTCTTTTGTGACGTTATGTGGCTAATGTCGACGACATGTCTTCGTCTCGACAACTTGGATGATACGACTGTCCTAGAGAGAATATGGGCTTTCTGTGAAATAACAGTAAAACAGTCTCATCTCTGCGATGGTGAAGGAGAGAATCATCAGTGCGGCATCAGGGACCAGTCGATGGTTGACAGCTTTACAGACACCTTAGGAAACAAAATTGCCCTTGGACACGTCAAGTTCAACTCATTCCGCCGCTTGATTTTCTTATCAGTTCAAGAAGAGAAAAGCGCAGACATGGACACAGCTGTGAAAAAGGGGGAATGATGGCAAGAGGGTATAAGATGGAGGGTGGAAAATCGCTGCATTTAAACCACACAACTTCTCAGTAACGACGTCGCGCAACGCTCCTCCGAAGAGCTCCCGGCCACGTCGACACTCTGTCTCAAGCGGAAAGGCTGGAGATGGACGTGGCACCTGAACTGGATCAAGGAATCTTCGAGATCCTTCTGACGAAGAATTGTCGTCTTTGTGTAGCGGGCCAGTCATAGGCAGGATACGATGAACGGCGAAGCAAGTCAATCAGCCCAAGAGTCATGGCGACGTGGGGTTGGAAATTTCCTGGCTAGACATTCGTGCGGCTGCAGAGGTTCATATGCGCCCGGTTCCGCCAAACCGGGACTGATTTAACAGCAAATGCCTAAAGCGAGAAGAAGGTGGCATCCAGTTGGCCCGGTATTCGTGCCAGGGCTGGCCAAGTTGCATGGTCTCGGTGAAGAGTGGCACAACATGTGGATGTCAAGGAAAGAGGAGAGGCAAAGAGAAAAAAAACCGCACGTCGGGGCACATTTGCCCGTTCCAACGACGCGGATTGGAACGGCTAACAAGCGCTGCCAATCAAGCACACTGAAATTCGCTGACTAGGTCATGGCCGGCTTCATTTTTTTTTTTTCTAATTCCCTTTGTACCTCTCCCGACATGGGATTTTATTTGCGAGTCCCTGGGGCCCCCAATTCCCCTCCACAACTCTTAGTGTCTTATTGTGTGGTGCCCCTCGTTGCGCCGCTTTGCCCCTCCATGTTATCAGGCCCCTGCAAGACGTTGAGAAACATGAAGATAGGTGTAGATAGGTCTGGATAGGGCTCTGCTGGAGGCAAAGTGGGCTCTGACCAACTGCTCGGGGTCAGTTTCCCAACTGTTAACATTGCCCTTGTGGGAAGAGTAGACAGGCACCTTACCCAAGTAACTGCCAACCTTACCTTACCTACTAGGTAGACGCAGATGCCAGATTCCCGCTGTTGACATTATCGAGAAAGCCCACAGCTGTCAGCACAGAAAAGACAACAGGCTGGACGCCGATAGGGCGGCAGGCAAGGTAGTAGGTAGCGTAGTACTGCGTCATTGCTGGGCGCACAAGAGGTGGGGGGAGGGGCAATGCTTCGCGAAGGATTGGGATCAGGGGTGATGGCCACCTTACCTCACTCCAAAGTGAATGGACTGGACCTTCCCCGTCCTTTGCAATTCCCGCACCCGCGCCGCATGTACCTACCTTACCTTGCCTTCTTTCTTGACCCGAACCCAGCGCCTCCCGTCCTGTCGCATATGTCGCATAACTTTAGAACGGGCGAACAGGAACCGCAAGGGAAAGAATGCCGAGCTGCTCGCCTCTCACCTGTCCATGACGGGGACAGCTTGCTGCTTACGTTAATCATCTGTTCTTGTCTTCAGCGACGAGGTACATAAGAGCTCCCACGTCCCACCATGTTGTCGATTCCAGTCTGTGGTAGCTCTCACTCTTCTTTTTCATCTCACGTTCTTCGCTTTTGAGACCACTTGATTTCCTGTTCTTCCAAGATACCCGTCTCTATTCCCGGTTGTTCCGTATGCAAAGAATCATGGCCGCCACCAAGCAGACCGCGTAAGTGACACAGACTGCCTTCTTTCAAACACAATGAAACGGCCACAGTCGTCTATGATCTATCAGCTAACCGACGTACAGCCGCACCTTCACCCTCAACACGGGAGCCAAGATTCCCGCCATTGGCCTGGGTACCTGGCAATCCAAGCCCAACGAGGTCAAGCTCGCCGTCGAGGCCGCTCTCAAGAACGGCTACCGCCACGTCGATACCGCCTTCGCCTACCAGAACGAGAAGGAGGTTGGTGATGGCATCATTGCCTCGGGCGTCCCCCGCGACCAGATCTGGTTGACCACCAAGCTCGACAACCCCTGGCACAAGCGCGTCCCCGAGGCCATCACCAAGTCCCTCGAGAACCTCCAGACCGACTACGTCGACCTCTATCTGATGCACTGGCCTTCGTCCACCGACCCCGATGACCTGAAGAAGCACTACCCCGACTGGGACTACGTCAAGACCTGGCACGAGCTGCAGAAGCTCGTCGGCACCGGCAAGGTCCGCAACATTGGTGTCTCCAACTTTGGCCTCACCCACCTCGAGCGCCTCCTTAGCGACCCTGCCACCACTGTAAGTCCTACAAATGCGCTTCCAGCTTCATCTTCCCACTGCGACCATGACTGACCAGTGCCCAGATCGTCCCCGCCGTCAACCAGATCGAGCTCCACCCTTGCAACCCCTCTCCCAAGCTCCTTGACTACTGCAAGTCCAAGGGCATCCACGCCACTGCCTACTCTTGCCTCGGAAGCACCGACTCTCCTCTCTACACCAACACGACTCTCCTCGAGATTGCCAAGGCCAAGGGCCGCACTCCCCAGCAGGTTCTGCTCCAGTGGGGTCTTGCACGCGACACCAGCGTCATCCCCAAGTCCGTCTCCGAGGGCCGCATCAAGGCCAACTTCGACCTTGACGACTGGTCCCTGACCGAGGAGGAGATCAAGAAGATCTCTGCCATCCCCGATCGCTTCAAGGTCTGCGACGGCACCTTCCTGCCGGACGGTGTCAAGGTCTTCTTCGGCGACGATGAGTAAATGGTAATTGGGTATATGATGGGGTGGGTGAGCTGGGTAGACTCACATAATGAGCAGATGAAAAAAAAGCAAACGCTATAGTCCATATCCCGCTGCCACAATGCTGCAGGGCCTTTAAATCCATACATGAATAAAAAAGTAATAAAAATCAGAAAAGAATAAGCATCCCAATGTTCATAACTTCGCCTTGTGTGCCTCCTCCCTCAAAATGTCGGCCACGTTCTCCCGCAAATCCTTGGCAAAATGCTCGGCGTCTTCTTCGTCTAGCTCCTCCCTGCGCCCTCGTCCAAACATGGTGAAACTTTCGCTGTACCTGCCACTCGCACGAATCTCAGGCCGCGGGATGAGGTGAAAGTGCATGTGCATGACGACCTGCGCGGCGGCGGCACCGTTGTTCTGCACGACGTTCCAATCCTCGACGCCCGTCGTGCGCGCCAGGGCGTTCGACAGCACCCGCAGATACCTCCCCATCTCGGCCGACTCCTCCGGCGAGGCGTCCGTCAGCTTCGGGCGGTGCGTGCGCGGGCAGAGCAGCAGGTGGCCGCGCGAAAGGGGGAGGATGTCGAGGAACGCGATGAGCGTCTCGGTTGAGAGCACGATGAAGGCGGGCGTGGGGATCCGGTTCGGGTCCAGCGTGGTCTCGTCTTGCGGGGGATAGGCTGGGTCGTAGGGAGGGTATTCGTCGGCAATTATGCAGAATGGACAGCTCGATTCAGGGGGCTCTACGCCCGAGTCGAAGGCGGTGGGCGTCATGATGTGAGGGATGTGATGGTGTTTTGGAAGAGATGCAATGCTGAGTGGAAGAGCCTTTGCATTACCGAGGCATTGCTTGGCTGCTGGATGATACTTGGTGCAAGCTTGCAAAGATAAAGAAAACAGAAGAAAAGAAAGTCAACAAGCTGCCTGAGTCGGAGAGATGACGCGAAGATTGGCCTGCGCGTCGACGAGATGTTCCCTAGGTTTCTGCCGCAGCGATATCCGATATCCGTACCACTAACATCACGATTAACCTCGGGAAGTGGGCCAGGCCGGAGCTTCTCAGTGTTCACTTCCAGCAGGTTTCCACGAGTTCAGCGTTGTTTTCACCTAAGCTCCACTGGCCGCCTGCACAGTGCACACCGCCCGGCACCAACCTTTTTTTCTGCCGCCATTCCGCCTTCACCGCCTAACAAATTGTCATCCAGCCTAGGGGCCCTCCTGCATTTCCAAGCCGCCGTCGCAAGAAAGAAAATCGCAGTCGTCTACCCCCGTCGCGTTCACCACACTCGACCGTCGCAACTCGCACAACTCCCGACTACAACCACCCGAAGTTTCGTTCTACCAAACATCGAAAATGTCCCGCGAAGCCTACCAAGTCCCGACTGCCGGTGCCTCCTCGGCCCCCAGCGCCGCCAACTACTCTTCCTACGGCAACGAGGGCCCTCAGATGCAGTACCTCTGCGGTGACTGTGGCCTGAAGTTCCAGCTCCGTCGCGCCGACCCCATCCGTTGCAAGGAATGCGGTTGCCGTATCCTGTACAAGGAGCGCACCAAGAGGTGAGTTTGTGTGGTCTGGAACTCGGACGAGACGCGCAAATACTGACTCACTCGCGCGCAGAATGGTCCAGTTCGAGGCGAGGTAATGGTAGCGACGTGGGTTGGGGAGAATGAGATATGGTTGGATGGGGAGAGAGACAAAGACAGAGAGAGAGGCTGAAGACAGTATCACAGTGCGCAGAATTCCTGGAGTTTGGGCTTGGGGGTTAAAAATCAATTCATAGAGGAAGGCATTCTGCACCTTTTCTCTCTTTTTTTTCGAGGTATCTCATGATAATGCAGCAACCTTCTAAAACGCCATCCCGCCCCATGATTCATTCTATGTGCATGCTCATTCTCAACCCTTTTCTCATGCCTGGCGGGTATGCAGGTACTTGGCGAAACTGCCGTCCGCCATGATGGAATCGCCCTCAGCCTCCATCGCCGCTTCGTACCGAGCCTGGAGACCCTCTCTGTCATCCTCGTCGTCCGGCATGTCATCGTCGTCAACGTCGCTGGCGACTTCGATGCCGTCATCGTCGTCATCCGGCTTGACAACCCGCGGCTTCTTGCCGGCATCTACTGACATGCCCTTCATCATCTTGTCCAGCTCTTGCTCACGAGTCTTGCGCTTCTGTTCCTCACGCTCCTCTCTCCGGCGCTGCAGCTCAGGCAGGTAGTCTTGCTTAAACTCCTCCGCCTTTTCCTGCACAGCCTCGAAGAACTCGTCCATGCCCGTTCCCAGCCGGGAGCTGACGGGCACGAAGCTCAAGTGGGAATAGAACTCCTCGAGCATCAAGCTCATGGAGTTGAGCAAGCTGCCCATGTATCCCGTTCCACCGCTGCCGCCCTCTGCCGTCTCATATCCGCCGATCGTGTCGCTCATCTCGTCCCTCTGAAGCGCCTCCTGAAAAGCCTCAAAGTCCGTCATCCACTCTTTCGCAAAGGTGGCGTCTTGTACATCGGTCTTGTTAAAGACCAAAATCATGGGCAGTTTGGTCTTGTACAGGATACTGCAGGCGTACAGCATGTTGCTCATGAACGTGCTTGTGGATGTGGTTCTCGGGGTGTCGATAACGTAGGCGATGACCGTCGGGAAGGAGGAAGCGAGTGACTCGAGAAGAATGGTACCGCTGGCTGACCATACGAAGACCTCAATCTGGCCGGCTGGAGATTTGTTAGTATAAAGTCGTGTTGTCACACGCATCCGAAAGACTCACGGGTATCGACGAGAATGTTCTTGATAGGCTTTTTGTCGGGGTTCGCCGGGTCTGGTGCCGCGCGCTTGTCGAGAAGGTTGACAATCTGGTCGACCTTCGTGGCGAAGAGGTTGAGGGACGTTAGAATCCCACCGTTCGGCCCCAGGTTGTACTGCTTCATGACCTCCTCATAGTTGACGGAGTCGCGAATGTCGATGTTGCTCTCGAAGGGCACGTTAAGAACCGCAGGGTCCAAGTTGATAACATAAGGAGGCTCCTTCTTGCCGTGGAGGTATGAGTTGATGCGTCGCATGAATGTCGTTTTGCCGGAGCCTGGAGGCGGTATTGGTCAGCGCAAGTCATCGAGTGTGTACCGGCGAGAACTCCTTACCGGCCATGCCGACAACTACAATAGAGACTGGGGAGTCGGAACCCGGGGTCGGGGCCGGGGCCGAGGCCGGGGCGGGTGCGGTCGAGGAAGCTTCAGCCATCTTTGTGCAGTTTATGTCGTCGACTTCAACTGGTGGTGTTGATCTCAGTCGCAGGAAAAAAGTTCTGGAAGAGTTGGAAGAGCTGGATGCCCCGCGCGGGGCGCTAGAGTGGACGACACCCCCTGTGAAGAACGCGCTAACAAGACCCCTGGGCTGTTCCAAAATTTAGATGGTCCGTGCCCAGTGACGTCCAACCTGCATTGAGGTTGCCAATTGTCGTCCTTCGATCCAAGCTGCCTCAGGTAGCTAATCAGAAGTCGTCACGTCAACACCAAACAGTCGATCATTCTGTCGTCTCATCGATCAGAGATGGACGGCCTCGACGATTTTGAAAAGGCGCTCGCAGCCGAAAAGGGCGAACGAGAGCGCATTGAACGCGAAAAGGAAGAGCGCAGAGAGAGGAAGAAGCAGCGAAGCCACCACCACCACCATCGCGAGCGCGACAGGTCATCCGACAGACACCGGGAACGCGACCGAGACAGAGAAAGGGACCGCGAACGTGATCGCGATCGCGATAATGACCGCCATCGGCACCACAGGTCGCGACGCCATGACGAAGACGAGGAGGATGGGCACAGGCACAAAAGATCACGCCATTCCAGGGACGACGAGGAACGGCGGCCAAGACGGCACCGGGATAGAGATGATGGGAGGCGTGACGAAAGACACGAAAAGACCTCTGACCCAAAGGAGGATCTCCCCATTCCCGATGAAGAGGCGACCCCAGAAGGAACCAAGACAACCACACCGTTGGTACGCGATTCGTGGATGACTGCCCCTTCAGCCCTCGATATCGACTACGTCCAGCGCAAGGAGAAGGAGAAACCGCCACCGCCCAAGGAGGAGCCCGTCAGGGTTGTTCACGAAAGGGAGATCAACAAGGACTTCGACGATGTAGCCAACGCTGCGTCCACGGACGAGACGCCAAAGGAGAGAACCATCAACTACACATTCGGGGACAACGGCTCTCAGTGGCGTATGACCAAGCTCAAGGGCGTTTACTCTATGGCGGAAGAGTCGGGGCGACCTGTGGAGGAAATCGCTCTGGAGAGATTTGGCAGCTTGCAGGAATTCGACGATGCCCGAGAAGAAAAGATCGAGATGGATCGCCGCAAGGTTTACGGAGACGGGTACATTGGTAAAGAGAAGCCCACCGGTGACCTCTACCAGGAGCGCATGGAGAAGCAACGTCCGGAGCCGAAAGAACCAAGTCCCATGGAGGATATCCAGCAGGGCACGGTCATCCCCGACCAGGCCATGCTGCACACTCCAATTGACCAGACTGCGTTGAACCGAATGCGGGCTCAGATGATGAAGGCTAAGCTTCGCCGAGCACCTGATGCTGCCAAGCTGGAGGCTGAATACAATGCGGCTGCTGCTAGTTTCGCAACCAACGGGCCGCAGTCTGTTGTTCTAGGCGTCATGGACAATAGAATGCTCGCAGGAACACGGGGCGAGGTCAAGTCTATCGAGACGAAGCGAGGCCGTGAGCGCGGTAACGTGGAGGCAAACGAGGACATGTCAATTGAGGACATGGTTCGCGAGGAACGCAGAACTCGTGGCCAAGCGGGCGGCGAGGGCATGCGTCTGGCGGAGCGCATTGCAAAAGATGGCAAGTTCGACGACGATCTCGAGTACATGGACGAGAACGCTGAAAAGCTTGCGAAGAGGGTACACAAGTCAGAGATCAACCTCAAGAACGTTGCTGTCAACGAGTATCAGAAGGTGACGCGAATTTTGGACAACTGCCCTCTCTGTCATCACGAAGACAAAGGACAGCCACCTCTGGCACCAGTCATCTCACTCGGCACGCGCGTATTTCTGACTCTGCCTACGGAACCCGAAATCTGCGAAGGCGGCGCCGTAATTACTCCCATTGCCCACCGCAAGAACTTGCTGGAGTGTGACGACGACGAATGGGAGGAGATTCGCAACTTCATGAAGTCCCTCACGAGAATGTACCACGAAAAGGGGCAGGAAGTTATATTCTACGAGAACGCCGCCGCACCGCAGAGACACCTTCACGCAGCGATGATGGCGGTGCCCATTCCCTACGAGGAGGGTGCCACAGCCCCAGCATACTTCAAGGAGGCCTTCCTCACGACAGACGAGGAGTGGTCGCAGCACAAGAAGATCATTGACACCGGCGCTAGAGCACGTGACGGCATGGGCAGGATGGCCTTCCGTCGGAGCATCGCCAAGGAAATGCCGTACTTCCACGCCTGGTTTACTCTAGATGGCGGCCTCGGTCACATTGTCGAAAACTCTGATCGCTGGCCCAGAGGCGACTTGTTTGCCAGAGAGATTATTGGAGGTATCTTGGACGTAGCGCCGGACGTGATCAAGAAGCAGGGGCGCTGGAACAAGGGCGATCGCAGGGTTGAAGGGTTTAAGAAGAAGTGGAGGAAGTTTGACTGGACTCGGGTCCTAACCGACGGATAGGCTTGGGAATCAGGTTTTGTTTTCCAGCCACCGTTTTGGATCAGGTAGAAATTTCTAAGCATTGAATAAGATACCTCGGCTGCCGACCGTGATATTCCGGTCTGGGCCCAGCCTTTGCCCTCAATTCAGAGTCTCCATCTCCACCTGCCAACAATAACTAGTGGTGATGACCCGGGCAGTTGGAACTTGGCACCCTGGACCATGAGCTGAAGCTGGAGGCACATTGACCGAAGTTGCGGGAGAGACCAGGGGCCTGACCCAGGCGCACCAATGGCTGGCCGGCCGAGAATGGGGTCGGTTCCCGGCAACCCCGCGATGCATCCCCGCATTCATTTGGGTTACCTCGAGATCTTCCGTCGAGTCGTCACATTGAATTGAGAAAAACAGCGCCGAGCCCCCGTGACAGCTGGACCGCGTCTATTCTGCTCTTGGCATAGCAGACCGGTGGCTCGATGATTGCCGTCATGTGAGGCGGTCAATGAGCCGCTGATTGTGAGCCATATATAATGAGCGACCTCGGCGCAAAGCAACAGGGCACGACGCGCAAAAGACGTGGTACCGCTTCGCCATGATTGCATCGCAGCTTCTCTCCTTGCTCGGCCTCATAGCTCTGGCGGCGGCGGCGCCCGCCCTGGAGGGCAGAAAGTAAGTCGCCTGACACACGCTTCCTCAATTGAGTCTAACAAGAGACAAGTCCCAGCCCCCAGAAGCCCTTCTTCTACAAGGGTCACGATCTGAGCTCCCTCAAGATGCTGGAGGAGTCCAACAACATCTTCATCGACACCGCACGAGGCAATGTTTCGCGGCCCGCCGACGACATCCTCGCGGACGGCGGCATGAACGGTGTCCGTCTCCGCCTGTGGGTCAACCCTCCCGACGGGACGTACGGCCTCAACTACACGATCGAGCTCGCGAAGCGCTTCCAGAGCAAGGGCCAGCGCCTCTTCCTCGACTACCACTTCTCCGACAGCTGGGCGGACCCCCAAAAGCAACCTCTTCCCGCGGCGTGGCCGACGGAGGTGGAGCCCCTGGCCGGCAAGCTGCGCGAGTACGTCCGCGAGACGCTTGTCGCCTTCCACGACGCCGGCGTGAAGCTGGACCTCGTCTCCCTCGGCAACGAGATCCGCCACGGCTTCCTCTGGCCGGTCGGCAAGGTCGACGTCGACGTGCAGCCCTGGCCGGCGCTGGTCAAGAGCTTCGCCAACCTCGCGACGCTCTTCAAGGCCGCGCGAGCCGGTGTCAAGGACGCGACATGCGCCGGCGTGCCCAAGCCCGAGGTTATGATCCACATCGACAACGGCTGGAACCTGACTCTGCAGGAGAGGTGGTTCGGGGCGCTCGTGGAGAACGGCGTGCCACTCTCGGCGTGGGATGCGTTTGGCTTCAGCTTCTACCCGTTCTACGGCACCTCGGCGACATTCGAGAACATCAAGAACGTGCTGCACACGATGACGAAAAAGTACAAGAAGCCTGCCCAGATTGTCGAGACGGACTACCCTGCCCTATGCGACGGAAGATGGAACCCCATTCCCGAGAGTTCGGAGCCCTCGATTCCCTACAACGTCCAGGGCCAGGTTGAGTGGATGCACAAGACGCTCCAGATTGTGCGTGACGTGCCCAACGGCATGGGACAGGGTCTCTGGTACTGGGAGCCGGTGAGTGAAACTAGCTCTATGTGAACCTTCGTCTTCATGAGTAGCATAGCTGACTGATGATAAACAATAGGCGTGGCTCAACAACACTTCGTTGGGCAGCGACTGCAATGACGCCATCCTCTTCGAGCCGGACTACAGCCAGTGGCCGACGACATACGGATACTCTCGCGAGTCGGTCAACGTTTACCTCTGAGGAAACAGAGTTGCGAGGAACTGAATCGGGCGTTGGTAATTGTAATCTGTTGTTTGTGACGATTCGTCTGAACCAAGGGCCGAGAGGAAACAAGAGGGGGGAGGGAAGAAACATTGGAATAGGACGATTACGTGTACAGACCAAGGAGGATCCTGCCATTGGAGACCCTTAATGTTTAAACAAGCTCAAGCCTCAAATTTCGCATGTAGACGACGTAGGGTGAGGGCAGCAAGTGAGGTTCAGTGATTGGACGGGGTGGTTGCATGTCTGAGTTTCGGTGGCATGGAGAATGGACGACGTTCCGAGAGGCTGTCAGAAGTCAGTTAGGACGGCGTCCCCAGCACGTCAGCGGCTCTCGTGGCCGGCTGGGAGGAGAGCTACAGCGGTTACCCCACGATCGGGGCCGGGTGTGAAACAGGAGCATTGATCGGGAAAGAGGTCTTGTGTTTGGGGTTCAATGCGGACTGTTTGCTGGAACGTTGTGAGTGTGGTGGTCCAGGCAATCCCAAGTCTACCTTAGGTAGGTGGTGTTTCCCGTCCTCTGTCTCCCTCAGCGAGGTGTGTGCCGGTCTTCCTCCAGGTGGGTAGGCGTTGAGAGAATGGAACATGCGCCGAAGAAGGGACTCGGTGATCGACGCCGAGATGGGGGAAGGGGGGGGGGGGGGGGGGGCNGGGGGGGGGGGGGGGGGGGGGGTGGGGGGGGGGGGGGG